ATTACAACTCTAAGAAAATTTGATAAGGGTCCCCAGTTAATTATATGCTATCCAAGTTTGCTTTGTATGGAAAGTCTAACTTATATTTATGAAAACAACTTCTCACATCTGAGTGAAGAGCAACATGACAGCATCATCTTTCTTAGCCTGCAGACTGCCAGTTCTGTCCTGATTCCTCTCATAAAGGCATTCATCAGAGCAAGGAAAATTACTACAGCATTTCACATATATAACCACCATCCATTCAATCCCCAGAGAGAGGACTGACAGGGACCAGGCTGACATCCGGGTTATGGTGCTGCTGAGGAAAGCAGAGGGGGGCTGTTGGAAGGCATACAAGTGCCACATCTACCTTTACCTTCCCGTGGCACCTAGAAGGTTTGGTAAGATGGGGGGAATAGCACAGTTCTTTTCCATGCGCAACAGGGAAGTAGGAACTTCAAATACAACCAAGAATAGCTGTCCACTCTGTCTAAAAGCCCATTCCCAACAGAAGAAAAGGAAAAGTGGACTTCTCTTAATCTGTTCACTTGTACTTCAGTGGCAGAAAAGGCCAAATAACCCTCATCTTTCACATCCACTCCTGGCTATGCAGTCATGCCATACAGAGATTGCCTGGATAAAGACATAGGCTGGACTTAAAAAGCAAATGTGCTTTGTGGTAATGTATCAGAGGATAACAGTTCTCAAAGCTGCTTTGGAGAACTTACAGTCATTTTCCTTCCTCGAATTTTTAGTCAAGTCTACAGGTGGCTTGAAAAAGTGCCTGAAAACGTTTCAAAGCAAGTTGGTTTTTAAATGGAAAAAATGTCCATATTTTCTAACCAGACTTGCTTCATATGCTGATTCATAAACACACACATGGCTGTCAAGCTACATTTGTCCTGGCAAATGAGAACTTCAAATTTCTAAAGCTGTGTATGTTTCAATTCCTGACCACAGTTTAACATCAGCGTACTTTTTAAATCACTACAGTGATTAATGACAGTGAAAGTAACATACTGCATGTGTTTACTTTGATGTGTTTCACATGAACATGTTAAAATATACATACTAAATGTGAGATTTAAATTTTAAAACAAAAAACAAAACAAAAGAAAACCCCAAAGGAACTTTTAGCGCTCACTTGCTCTGCTTTTTTCACGCATAGATTTATGAACACTGGGAAGGAGTCCAGCTGAGCCCTAACTTGCATCTTGTATAACATGAACAATCAAGAAGACAATCCTTCCTAATGTAGCTGTTTTTGATGAAGTTCACATCTTCGTTTAGTTGATCTGTCCCGTTCCTAGTCTTGTATTAACATGCTGAACGTATCCAATCCCACTCAGACTGGATGATACCTGCATGTAAGGAACATTCAATGTCATAAAGTGAAGGGCTACAACGGCCCTTGCCAATTCTCTGCCTTCCCAGAGCAGATAACACCCCCAACCCCACTCCCCCAGCCCTGTGCTACCTGAGGTGCAGTACCCCCCAGCCTGACAAGGATTCCCCCACCGTACACGGAGCCTGTCCCTGCAGCTGCTGTGGCTCAGCCAGGGGCCCTGGATCCCCACATGAAGAAAAGCACAGCTCTGCCCGGTCAGTTCTTTCCTCCTTCCCCCAGCTCAGCTTGGTTCATCACTGCACAGAGAAAAGCAGCTCCTACCAGTCAGCCCGTAACGAACAGAGTCCGAGTTGCAGCCATCAGCCCCAGCATCTCTTGCCCATGGAATCAATGTAAATGCCACATTCTTCACGCAGAACGGGCAGGCACAACCACAACCACACACACACACATATGAAGAAGGAAAGAAGTGGGCAAACACAAAGGGAGTTTCTCCAAGTTTCTTGTAATCTCAGTTTTCCCACTCCATTTCCAGGGGCAGCTGAGGTATATTTTCATTAGACATTGGCTCTTCTAGAAATCAAGTTGGCAGATAAAAAGAGGCAACAGGGAGAATGTCTGCTTGGAAAACTGGATGCAATACCAGCTTGGCCTCATGGGTGAAGAAGGCCCTACATAGCTGAATTTAAGTACTGCACAATTAGGAAAACGCTGAACAAGAGATTTTTGGACTTAGGTGCCCAAACCCTTTCCTATGTGTATTCTGGCCTTCAGCCAGGAAAGGTAAGTGGATTTCTTCAATGTCATTACATTTATCAGCCCTTGTATTTGGGCAAGGATATCTTACAGCTAAATAAATAAAGACTTCTTAAAAAGCAGTACTGTAGCAATTTAGAGTTAAACAACAACTTCTTTTTTTTTTTTTTGAGTTTTAAAATTCACAACCAGGTAAGAAACAACCCTACAGAAAATAAGCATACCGAAGGGACGTTACAGGAAGAGCTCTTCTGTTAAATCCTAAAGGAAAACATCAGATGATTGCCATTACACTCACTACCACAGTTACCATAACTCAGCCCTGGTAAACCTGCTTCATCCAAAGGAATAACATGTGAGAGTGGATAAGATCTTTCTAATTAAATGTTATACCCTCTATCAACTGTCTTGCAGCTGTAAACTGCAGGTAACACACAGCCAGCACAGGTTAGCTTATTAACAGATAGGCCAATAGAGCATGCTTTTTTCCTAGGACAACATTCACTAGAAGGATACAAAAAACTGATGTAAAGGTACAGAGAGGCTCAGTTAATCCTGTTCCAAAGAGGCACCTCAGTTAGAGGCCCCTCTTTAAATTGCCAGGGAAAACAGAAACTTTCAGTAGGCAGCTGAATGTACCTAAAGCCTGAATCACCCCCTGCAAGTTTATGCCTCCCTCTTACAGACATCTTCAGCAAGGCAGAATGAATCTGGACCACAGTACTGCTATAGCTACACCTGAAGAGGGAGTTCTGATGTAAACCCAATGCAGAACAATTAAAACAAGTGCCAACAGTGGGCTGATATATATGTATACTTTGCTTAAGTTATAGTCTACTATTTATTCTTCATTAATCAAACTACACTAAGGCTATCTAAAAATGTGGGCGACAGATCCATTAGCTCTAAGAGTCTACAAAGGGAACCTCGGAATCCTGAAGCTGAGTTAGAGAGACTATAAAAGCTTAAAAGAAGCTTTCCATTACAAAAAAGGAGGAAAGCCTATCATATTTCATGGAGGTCAGACATATAACCAGGCAAATTCCATAAAATATATAAACAGAACAAAGTGAAAACGAACCAGCTGTCAAAGGATTTCTGGCAATAATTTCTTCCACAATGGTTAGATATAAGGCATTAATGAATCTGGCTATTGAAAAAAAAAAGTGTTAGCTGGTACTGCTACATGAATAAATTGGAAAAGAATATAAAACTCCCACCAAGAACTACAAAACTGTTATGGATGATGCAAAGTCTATTCACCTTTTTTTTTTAACTGCTTATAGAATACTATATATAACAGACCAATATCAAGTTATATGGAATTCCCATGCAAAAAGCTGCCAGCCATGCAAGCAAAAAGGCTGTAAATATCTGTCAATTGCATAAAAGAAAAAAACCCTTTGAGAGCACAAATTTCCCCACCACCATCACCCTGCAAAATCTAGAATCATTTAAGTCTGGAAATATAAAGTTAGGATTTCATTTAAAAACAGATATTAAACCATACGTCACCTACACAAGTCTTTTCCATTCCCTCCTGAACTTCTAGCTGTGCACAAAACGTGAGTCTGATGCAGACGTTATGATAGAGCTCATTTAAATGGGCATTTTATGGAAGACTTTAAACTACGTAGTCTAAAGCTGCAGATATGTTAGTGCTAATAATTTCACTTTATTTATGTTCTTTTTAGAATCAGTGAACTCTTAAGTAAATGGTTTTAATTCTGTGCCTGTGCTAACGGCATATGAGCAAGGTGTCCTCGATCCTGCTCCATGCCCTGAAAAAAGCCCAATGAAAATTAATTAATAAAGCTAGCACTTTATATCCTCCAAACTTCTGACAAATTTTATAAGTTACAAGGTAATTATGTGTTAGCACAATGAACAAATTCAAGTATGCATAGATTTAGGATGCAGTTTCACAATCAACTTCAACTGTCCTAAGACCACACACCATTAAAAAGGGTAGTCCTGAGGTCCTCACCTCTTCTCCCTCCTCACTGCACACCTCTGCTGCTTTCTTTCAATCGA